ACACATGTAGACATTATGTAATGAGTGCATATAAACAACAACATTATTCAACGGTCAAGTTGAACAATTCAACCGCTGACAAATCACAAATTTTAATGCACATTAAATAACTGTAGAACAATTGATTCGTTTAATTTTGTGAAATGAGGATGCTTTAAGGACTCGAATCGCATCTTAATAATAACTTATTTCATAATAGTTCCTTTCGAATGGTTTCAAATCGAAAATAAACAAAGAGTTTGTGATTATATCTACAGAACCATCTTCGCTGGCATCGAATCCAAAAAAAATTCTTCGTGTTCATTTAGCTATCCATTCATTCGAAATTACACGTTCGATTATGAATTTTACAATGATAAAGTTTTTCATGTGTAAAATGAATATTATCGGTCCTCGTTGTAACTGCTCTTTTCACTATAACAAGTAGTTGATGGAACAGTTACTGATATTGGATGATGAATGAAGTTGCCTTTTAAACTGTCGCGTTAGCTAGATACATTTTTATTAGTGAGCCGAGAGCATCGTTACGTGAGGACTGGTTCACATTTGATGATGTGCATTACTGAACAAGCATGTTGATTTTTGTACTAAAAGTCAACGAAACTGTATCTTTCTAGTGATGATTCGCTTTGTTCGTTTACGAGTACTGAACGAATGAGCAACTGTTTATACGTGATTTGTATTGCAGAAATGATGCACAATCAAGCAGTAAAAAATCGAGAAACGCTTTTCCTGCAATCGACAACTATCTACTCAGTTAAAAGTTTTTTTTTTCGCTTTCAGTTTTCGTTAAAGTCACGTACATAACCACAAACTACATGTGATAACAATCGTCAGTAACTGATATTTATTGACATCATTCATTGTCTATTCCAATTCATTAACTGAATTAATTTTCACAAATCTGAAAGTTTCACACTCAATGAAAGTTTCTCATTTCGATTTATAAGCTTCACAAAATCCATTCACTTTCTTTTTTTACTTCTCCACGAAAAGACGTGCCTAAGCTTAACAAAAACAGAAAATTCATTTTAAGACAGTAAAATTATTCCTCTCCTCCCACTCCCTCCCAATTTCCATTGTTGCTTTTGCTAAAGACTTTCCATCCAATAATTATATGAACGCTTGATGATATTCACGTCAAAATTTATTGTGGAGTTGATTAAACGAAACACAAGTTGCTCCTCTGTTCAGTAACTGACGCATTTGGTTTATTATCATAGTGAGTGCAGTCGTACCAAAAAATTAACCATTTCATAGATATATGACTATTGATAGATTTATACCGTTATCAGACCGAACATTCTGTCACTGTAAATAAAATGATTTTAAATAAACAATTCAATTTTTAAAGTTACACTTGTCAATGAAATCCTAGTCAGCTATGACGGGTAAGTGCATCAATCGTTAGATGCAGAATTCAAAAAAAAAAAAACAACTGATAACCGCTAGCATGCATCATGTCAACATACACTGAAATAAACGGCTTCATTTCTAGCAAAAATTATTTATTGTCGTTACAATAAAAACTACACAAATTCTAGCTATAAACTGATCCGTTCTATGAATGTTTGAATGAGATGATAATTTTAGTAAGTTGAATAGTCAAAAATTTGGTCTATAATCACAAAAATACAACTTAATGAGTGATACATATTTGAAGTACACATCAATCAACATTACAAGATCATGAAATATATCATAATTCATCAATTTTTTGAATCAGCAAATAAATCATTCAATTCAGTGGTATATACAGAAGGAGGAGGTTTCAGAATGAATAATTTTTCGACACTGCAATGGCTATGCGTAAAAATTCATTTCTTAAAATTTTTCCTATTTGTTTCTGTTGAATCCGCTCAACATAAACTGTTCATTACTCTCCAACGAAAATTTCTTACCTCAAGCCTTCCTCCCTTCTATCTGCATCAAAAAAAATTTTCTTCTACATACTTCGTTGTCAAAGGTTACTGCTACAATTCACACGAAATAACTTCAATGAAATTCCCCAAAAACGTATAGCTTTCAACTGTCTCGTGGTTGATGTAATTTTGAGATAAGGCAGTCTCATACGGGGCGAAGATTTCTCGGGATTATTCAACGTGAACACGAAATTAGGACATCAGCGATTCAACAATCTGAAATTCAATGCTAATTGTAAAACAGAAATAATACAACACACAAAAATAAAAAGTGTTAAATTAGCACAATACTTTGTTGATGACTGATAAAGCAAAAAAAAAAAACGAATTGTGATCAGGACAGAATATAAAATAGTGCACAGTAAGCAATAAATATAGATTTAGAGATAAAATGAGAGCATCGAATAATCATTTTTGATTATGTAATAGAACTAGACTGTCCAACAAAAAATTTTTACAATGAAACCGATTTCGGTTCTCAAAATAGTTTTTTCTTACAGCACGGAAGCGACAATCATTTTTCATTTCATTGTATTTTTTTTTGGAAAGGTCGAACTGAAATTTCTGTTCCAGTACAAACACATACACATATAAATGCATCTTTTCCTACAACAGCTTCCGAGCTTAGAAAAAGAAGAAGTTACTTTTCCAGAGCTGTTTTCTAAGAGGAATTCTTTCCTCTCATAAAACGGCCTCATTTTATAATGATTCAGAACAAACTCCAACAAAAATGGTTTGAAGTATGTAAAGTGTCTTGCAAAGGCGTGAACTGCGACGTCACCGCAATCTGCAGCGGTTAAATCACTCATTTAAATTTTTCAGAACAATCGCGCTCATACGCCGCTCAGTATAACTCAGGAGTGCGTGGAATCATACAAAATGGTACGGCACACTGAATCGAAAAATGCTTCATGTCGAATCAAACACTTTTTGAATACACTTCACACTACAGTGCACGTACATGTTACAATTTGCACAGTTCCGATTGAGATGTTTACAGAATTTTCAAAAAATTCTTCAATTTTATTTTGGAATTTGCATGGAAATGAAGCTATTCTATGAGGAATGGAGTTCATCGGTGTTTTCTGTACAAAACACAACCCCGGAAAATACGTCGTTCTTGCAAACTTGGGAGATGCAGTTTAACACGAGGTGTACTGGAACAGAAACTTCAGACTGATTCTGTTGAACCATATGACTGTGGAATGAAAAATGGACGTGCTTTCCATGATCTATGGCATCAGAATCGGAAAATCGTTGAAAAAAAAAACCCATTCTTGCTGGCCAGTGTTACTGATTGTCACTGTAAATACAGTCACTGAGGCCAATTATTCATTCGAAAACGAGGTCACTGCAAAACAAAACATGTAAGGAAAAGCATTGTTTTTAAAAAAAAAAATTATCCTTTCAATTCAACGAAGAAAATGGTGTAAATTAATCGCATTGAACGATGAAACTTTTCACTGTGTAAGAATAACTTCTTTGATAAAAAATATTGAGTATTTTTCGCGGCATCAGTGCTTTGTTGTTGCTATAAACGCCATCAAACTAACAGTAAGAGAATAAACAACAAACGCTGACACATAGGAAATGAAATGACTGAAAGTTTTTTCGGAATAAATTGGTACTTCAGAATGAACTTTTTCTTAGTTCAGCTTTTCTGGCTCAGTTCATGTTAGCATTATGGAATAGACGATCAGATAATAGATACAAGAGGGATCATAGTCTGGCTCAGATCATAGCCTGAATTGCTTGGTTTTTTATTAAGGAACAAGAAACCAAATCCAACGGATAGCAATTCAATGGCCTAAGCTAAAGTTTTCTTTATGAGAAGCATACAAAAATGTCCTTGCAATCAGGGAATATGCAATTTCTGATTTCTGATTAACGAACGTGAGAGTAGCGGAAAGAACACAAAAGTATAACTGAAAACAATCGTCAATAACAATCTTCATAATCCGTAAAGATTCTTCCTCTAACACTGCCACTAGATACGACACCGTGTCAAGAATTGAAAGCAAGATTAATGATAATTGACTCGTTCAGTTGACGTTTAACTAACTATAAGACGTACGTACCATTCTAAAGAGACCACACAATGAACATCGAACTGTTTGGCATAGTAGCCGTTTTGTTCTTTATGAGATAGATCAATATTTAGAAGAAGGATTATGAAATACGATCGCACTGCAAGAACTAAATTCACTACTCGTGAAAACGATTAAATGAAAGACGAGATTGAGTAATCACAACGACTTTTTTGGTAGTATGTGCGTTATTTATTGAATGTACATTTTTTATTAAATTTTGCTGAACTGGCTTGCACCTTAAAATTGTGACTTTACTTGAACAAAGAGAATTCATTTTTGTGAGGAATTGATGGTCAAAAAATTGCCATCAAAAAACATTATGAAGAATAACTGAAATATACGCTCGGACAATTGAACATCTAATCACAAGTTTTCAATTATCAAGTACGTAAGCATGTTGTTGTCCTATGAGCATTATGTTTTGTTGGGATTTTTGCTCAACATTGTGAACAAAAACAGCACATCGATTCAGTAATGTAATTCAGATATAATCTAAAATAATATGTCTTGAAATTCGCGTAGCATTCACACCATAAGGATGAAATAAAATTCACTGAATAGAAAACATTCACCCACTATAAAAGGCAATTATTATACATACAAATAGCAATTAATCAACTGAAAATGAATTTCGAATTAATGTTCATTGTTAGAGCCTTCATTGTTTATCGCTGTCGATCTACAGTCATCAGTCGGATATTTGCTGTGCAATAATCTCGGAGCAACTGCCACATTCTGTGCTCTTGTAGCATTATAATAAGCCACACTTCTTCCCGAACCTTCAAATATTATTCACTAGATGAGCTTCTTTCCAAAAAGTGTTGAAAAAATATACTTTTGTTTCAGTCAATAGTTCTCTTTCTGTATTATTTCGCACTTCAGTTCATTTATGACAATATCTCATCTTTGAATCATCGTATTTTATTCGTGTCATTTTTATTCGTATGTCTTTATTATTAACAAAACGAGGAATAGCTGTGCACGATTTTTAAGTGAAATAATCAAAGAAAAATGAAAAACCACTTTGTCGAATTTGATGAATGATTTTCTTCCTGCCTTTTAAAAGAGATCGAAAAGCATTTCTAAATCGTGCCGACATAACATTGTATAAAATCGGATTAATTGCACAGTTGAAGAATATCATTGTTTTCGACAAAAATATATACCTGCAAAGCATTATTACAGATTTTGCTTTGTGAAGAAACGACTTTTGTTACTTCATTACTGTTGATAGCTGTGAATTCTTAATGTACAAATTAGTATGTTGCAGAGAAGGAAAACAAGTAGGTCTGAGATGAAATTTCACAATCCGGGACCTCAAATTGTAGCGCCTTCAAAAATGTCGGGGAGTGTGATCTCGAAATTCCGCGTTCCTCTCAACACATTAGTGTAAGTACGATTATCACTCGCAGATAAGAAACAACATGTATTTTCGAATGGATAATGAATGATGATCTTAATGCCTTAATGGTAATTTTTGAAAACCAAATTTCGAGATACGCATAAAGAAGATGTGGAGAGATGATCAATAATTGCTGTGGCAAATAGCTGGTCACTGAAGGAAGAATGTTAGGAGACAGCAGCCAAAGACGATTCTTCTAAGAATATTTGATGTTATTACTTTAATCCAGATACACTGTTAAATTGGTTAAATGTAAGATTTATGTGTGAGGTGATGTTGATTTCTAACTGATGAATTAGTCTCTAATAGGCGTACACAAAAAAAATTCAGATGAATGCTCTAGATACGCAATTTTACAACATTTTGTTATCAGAATCATGTCTGTTGTGTGAGGAAAAGGGAAAATTTTTTGGTCAGTAGCAGTTACGTTTTAGAGGGAATTTCAATTGCATCCGAGGTGGAAGGATGGAATCGATAACGGAAAAATTGAAAATTAACAACAAACCAATCAGGATCCCATTTGTCTTGCACAAATGAGTTGTACGTAACCATCGCACGATATGGTAGCCAGCAGACCGCAAATATAGCGACCACCAATGCAAGCATTTTGACAACATAAAAACGATGCTATCAGTTATAAGCTGCCTAATTGTGAACTTCTTTTCGTAAATGTGTTTATAGGAATCTGCAGCTAGCCTTTAAGGAAATATTAAAAGATGTCCGTTCATCTTGCAATTTGTTTTGAAGTGAAGAAGATCAAACTTTAATTAAGTGATGTACGAATTCAGTGGTGTTCTCTTCTGACAATGGAATTCTAAACGAAGAAGTTCCAAAATTCACTTGATTCTTTGCTTTCAGTGGACCGCTTGTGATGCTGACCTTGTGCGCTCGCATACTTGTTTTATGGTGCGGTGTGTCCATGTTGGGTTGTGAAAAACCTATAAATAACTAATTTATCACATCCATATTTATTTCATGCACTCACTAAACAAGAGTGATTATCATTATATGGCAATAGCATACAACTCTCACAGCCGATGTGTACGTAGTGAACATTTCATGAATCAAACACAAATTTTGGATATGTAAATTGTTCCTGAACTAAGGTATGAATTACAATTGATAGTACCTCGAGCGCTTGCTTTCGACGCTTGGTTCGAACTTAGAAGATGACTGTTGATTTCGGATGGATAGGAAGCTTAAATTTTAAAAATAACTTTTGAATATCTAAATGCAATAAGTATTTGAAACATTTCTTAATTCGAACAGGTATTATATTAATTCAGAAACATTATAATTCAACTTTATAATTCAGAAAATATAACTTGATATATTTCAGCCATAACCGAAGCATTTAGTAACCTGTACTCAAATTTCGTCGTGGTTTTCTCTCACTCTGAGATCGATGAAGCGCATAAGCAATCTTACTGTAAATGACAATATAGAGTAGCATTGGAATCACATAAAAACCCAACAGATCGCCAAGGAACATGACCTTAAATAATTGCATGATCACTTCATTGAATACCCATTTTGGTGAATCAATTTTTCTCTTTTCAGTGCCAAGAGCATTAGTCGAACCATGGAATTGCATTGTATTCTAGATATAATGATCTTGTGTAAAATTCTATTATGCTCATCCACAATCAACATTGCATTTTTTTGTTTCAGTTAATCAGAGTCACTCACGGAATTTAAAAAAAAACTGACTAACTGTTACATAACACGTAAAAGATTCAACTTGAATCGAACATAGAATAACATCAGTGATAAGAGGATGCTTACTTTATAAGTGAAATGATCTCTTTCCAATTTAAAACTGCATGAATATTCACCATTATCAATTCGTAACGATGCTAAATAAAGCCACGGCGAATTGTAAATGATACAAAATAGCCAAATTGCGCTGATTATCGTTTTTGCTCTTGTCACCGTACAAATGTATCTAAAAACTATGAACACATCGCATAATACGTGCTTCCATGAACATCAGCCTCTGAAACCGTGAAGCTTCTTCTCGGAGGGCAATGAGGATATGAGGGCCGTCCTCAAAATCAGGTCCTCTTTTTTTGAACACGGACCCATTCTCAGAAAAAAATATGCCTCAGGATTTATATTCAACCAATTACTGATCCAATAATTGATACATTTGATATCTCATTTAGTGTGGAACAGAAACGGAAAAAAAGTCGGGGACGAGGAAAATCAGGGACAAAATTTTGCAGTCGGGGACCTCGGAAATGATGTCGACTCGAAAAAAGTCGGGGACGGTGATTCGGAGACGGGGACTCAGGTCGATGAATTTCGGAGAAAAAACTCAGTCTCGTCCCCGTCCCCAACCTTCGAATTTCTCCGAAAATGGAACTTTTGAATTTGAGTCGTCAGCAGGACCTTGAAAACAGGATATTTTTGATGAAAAAGCATTGATTAGAACAGCGATAACTGCGAAGCCACAATGCAGTTCTATTAACAGGATTTTATTCAACCACATGAGGAAATAGGAGCAAGACTCGTTTGACAAAAACAAAAGAGAATACACGCTCTACTCGTGCAGCTTTCGATGCGGGCATATTATGTATCACTGTGCAGCTCTAGAAATATTCTTAAGTTCGATTATGATCGTAACTTAGTTTTTGTGGAACCTCCCTCAATCATTGGTCTGTGACTTTCAGGAACATGGAAGGTGATCGGAGAGTCAGCTAAATATAAGTGTTTATGTTCATTGTTATAAGACACGTCTTTGTGAAAGCATTCATCTGCCTGATATCCTCCATCGTATTCACTTCTACGAGTCCACTGTGACAAAATTAAGATAGCGATAAAGCAAAACCATTAAAAACGAACATTATCAGATACAACGATTCGTCGGTTACAATTAATATAAACACGGCTTGTGGTGAATTCAGCCGATCGGACGACTTTTGTATGTTTTATTCATGAAGAGACGAAGAAAGTTCTTCATGGGATAAGGCTTTCTTTATCCTACTCATTCGCATGTGTGCATTGCGAAAATTTTCTTTGTATGATATCTGCTAATATGTAATAACATTTTGAATTAAATTTCACAGCGCTATCCTATTGTCAGCGTTCCCTGAAAATTTTCGAGGAACACTGACAATTCTGTAAAAGTCAGGAAAATCGAGGACAAAATTTTCCAGTCGGGGACTATGAAAATGTCATCGACTCGAAGAAAGTCGGAGACGGAGATTCGTGGACGGAGTCCCCGAAATCCCTCGATCTCCGCACCACACTAATCTCATTATCCAATTTAACAAAGATCCAACCTCGCTCGTATTGGATGGCATATTCCTATGTATCGTTCAACAGTGAACGCAACAATTGATAGAGATGACGAATTAATCGCTAAGTATGGCAAAAATGTAAAGAGTGCACAACCAAAATAACCGAATATGTATTCTGAAAATAATAAATAAATTCACTTTCAAAACAGTTGCATCATATCATTTTCACTACTAGAATATTCACTCCACTCGAACATCCTTCATATTTTGGCTGAAGTCATTGCATTACTAGCATCATCTTAATAATTAGCTGACAGCTAGAACACAATCCTTATGATTGTACATTACTAAATTCTGTGCACATTCATCTCGGAATATGATAGAAATATAATCAGTTCGATTTAAAACTGATGATTCATTCAATGGAAAAATTCTTGCTGAACGAATATATGTTCAATCAGACATCATTAACCTGTCTCTTCCAAATGTAGATAGCTTAGTTCAGTTGGTGCAGTGGCTATGAAAAATAAGCAATCGCTTGCTGCTAACGACACCAGATAACAATTCGTTGGCGTTATCTACAAGTCGATTATGTGATTACGAGTTTATATTACGAGTCCATATTATTTATATACACGAACATTATTATTATCCTAATCAGTTTCTTTATCATTGCTCACTTTTTTGCTGGTAAATCCCACAGAAATTATTGTCATTTGTTGTTTTCTTTTAGTTTTTGAAAATATTACTGTTTCATCCCCTTCATACTGCCCAAATTAAGTCTTTAGTAAGCATATTTCGTTCATTTATTTCGTGAGAATTTTGAACATAAAAGAATAGTTGAATAAAACATGTTAGGTATATGCTAAGCGAGCGTTTAGAACGGAAAGTAAAGAAGAAACTTATTAGGATTTTTTGGATTATTTGTTTCTTCATATCATTCATGAAAATATGCAAAAACTATAATGGTGGAAATAGAAAAAAAATGAAATGGTCAAATTTCTGAATTCATTTGTTCAGTGATTGTAAGTTTGTTTGTGTAATAGTTATTCATTTAGTCAGACGATCAGCTGATTTATTATGCTTAACTTGAGCAAATTAATCACTGTCAAAGTGATGAGCGAAAAGATTTCGCATCATAAAAAGTCGGGGGCATTAAATGGAAACTAGATAGATATTAGTTGAGATAGATGAGAATATGGTTCAAATGTTTTATGTGCGGAAAAAAAAAAACTGTGACAAAAATTCGTTCGGAAGTGATCGCTGTGAATTGATGTTTACTTTATGAAAGTGGTCTATATCACAGTCACATTTAACTCTTAGTTATTTACTCATTCACAAATTAGAGCTGCATATTCATTCATCATTAAGAAATTTGTGAATAATTCACATTTTATTCAAATTTCAAATTTTTGAGAAAATAATCCTTTTTTTCTTCTTCTGCTTTTCTCATATTGACATCTGATAATAATTCATCAATTATGTGAATCCTTTTCCTTGAAAATATAAATAAGTTTTTTTTTTCAAGTTATTCATTCACGATGGCTGTCCTCTCAGAGCATAAATACAAAAAATTTAACGAACCATTCCTTTAACTTTATAAACAACGGTTATCACTAATATATTGCCAATAATACCGATCGACGATAATGATGCGAAAATGAGTGTCATTATGATACGAACATTTAATGGCCAAAAATCTTCATCGAACTCTGGTTGAGAACGAACTCCAAGATCAAGATTATTATTGTTGGCTATATCACCGATACCATTTTTAGCAATGAAGATTTCTCCTGAATGATCCGTGTGCGGTGACATACTGTTGGCGTTCGTCTTCACGTATAATCGTTCGATCAGTTCATTTTCTGAGACGTTAATCATTCTGAAGTTGGAGAATACAGTTGCAATCATCGTTTGAATGATCGAATCGTCGATCATTTTCGAGAGTTAATCGAAAGCATTTGTGTCTATGCATACGTATGACAATTGCTGCATTGAACGTACTGGAACAACAGAAAAGAATTTCGAATTATCTCAAATCAAGCTCTTTTTTGATTTCTCACTACTTCTTTTCTGCAAAACCACCGCTGAGTGTTAATTTTACAAGATAAAATTTGTATCCCATGATTGGTCATCTCAATATTGCTTTCTTAATACTTCATCTACATGAAACAGTGGTTGCATCTGAGTGACTCGCCTCATTGATTCCTTCGTTTTGGAGCATTCAGATTACTCAAAAAATGAGAATAAAATAGCGGGGATGTCAGGTAAATATTTGACTTTTCAATAAGCATTCGAATGAAACATACAATAATGACACCTCTCAACACGTCCGTAATATACATCATTTATCTTTATGAAGGCAATCACCAGGATAAGCAGCACTCTTAATGATGAGCAATGCTGACTACTCATGTCAGTAACGAGCATACAATATATGCGGTTTGTGTAATGTAACGAGCAATTCTGCTCATAATTGTCGTTGAATGAAAGCTTTGCTTAATAAATATTCGTACCTTTTTTGAATGCTTCAGTGAAGTTTATGCAAGTAACGCACTGGAATGTACCACTTCAATCTTGATGGAAAACGACAACTATAAATATCCAATTGATGCGCTTCGTTCTATTGGCATCGCAATCAATTTATATGTCTTCCTTAATTCAATTACTGTCATATCATTTCAATATAAAAACACAAATTTGCAAAAAGCTCATTTGAATACTCCATCAACACAGCTGGCATTTTATCACTGTTGTTATTATTTATGTCAATAATTATTGTTTTTATTCTTTTCATTATTGGATATCTTTGCAAACATTCTTGCTGAGCACATACCGGCCACAAAATAGTTGCAATTTAAACTACGCTTAACAACGGAAAACAGCACCCATATAAATATGAAAATGAATTAGCGCACATATAAAAATACACTAATTCGTTTTCAATTGCATCCGTATTCGAATGAAAATACTCATCACAGGTCAGCTATACTCGTGAACAAATAATATTCTGTTATTAAAGAGGGAGTAAATAAATGAACCGCATCCCTTCAAGATATATCTAGAAATATTCCATTATAATCCTATGGGCTTGATCTACTGTTCTATTTAGCAAAGGCTAGACACGTTTACGTTTCGGTATCTTTACAGGTAGATGGCGCTCATTCAAAAAATTCAGATATACGTAAATAGTACAAGAAGAAGATTATATGGATAATACAGATAGGAATAGCTGAATAGACGAAAAGTACTTGCTATAATACCTTCCATCACTGTTTTAGTTTGATTTCTCGCTGTCATTTAAACAAATAATGATTGATATGTAAACATAACAGCGAATAAATATTATATAATATGACATGATATTATACCTGGTGAATAAGATAATGTAAATAATAAAGTAACAAATTTTATCCCATCATGTCAATTCAGTAAATCATTATTTTCATTGACTTCAAACGAACTTGAATGAAGTATCACTGATCAATCGTGCAATTAATCACACTTATTGATTATCGTCGTAGTTACTCTTGAGTTTGTAGGTGAACTTTAATTAGGAAGCAAACTATTCCTTTGATTTGTCAGTTAAATCTCAGGTATGAACTGAATGTTACTTCGCCCAAGATGCAGTTAAATTAGAGCAGTGAATTCGTGGATTGTACGAAGAGAGATGGAAAGACATGAAACAAGCATGATGAGGAGTGAGCGATGATTCTCAAAAGAAAGACTGATGGAAATGAATCAGAATCAAAAACAAAGTACGCTTCGTTCTCAAAAGCCTGAATTTAAATGAGCATGTATCTGTAAAATCCATTGCTCGATTATTCAAATAAGCAACATACAGAATTACCGAAGATGGTTGTTTTGAAATAATCAGAAACTTCTTCGATAGCTGATTATTTCGAATATGTATTCAGTTGTAGTATACTCATCGCGTTCATCAATTTCAAAAATTTGAGGAAGCACGAATATATTTGAGCTTTTGTCAAGAATTTATTTGTTCCTGTCAGAACGGATTCTTTCAACAATCAGAAATCGCGTTTCACGAAAACAGTGATAAGAAATAAAATCATTTACAATCAGATGCAGCATCCGTTCAATCCCAGCATACCTTGGTATGAAGTTGTGAATGTATGCATATGACAGATGTCATGAATATGAATAATCACATGTAATTGCTATGACAGATGTAAAACCACTAAAATGATCTCGTAAATAACGCTAAGTTTGTAAGACAACAAAATTTTCCCGTTTATGCGTAACTATAAAGTTTTCATTTGATCGTTGAAATGTTCAGAACCACCTAAGCAAAATTGGGACAATGGAAGTTTTTGAAACAATCGAAATGGTTTCAAAAATTTGCTAGTTGAACATTTGCAATTGAAAGAAATCAATCGAAACAAATAGAATGAAATAAGTCACTATGACGTACACAAAACAATTCAAGTGAAAATACTTTTAAAAGTGCTATTGTTTGAGTGGTTCCTCAACGATTGCCAATGTTAAGTTGATTCCTAGTTAAGAGCACTTTATACCACTTTTCACGATAGTATGGCTCTTCAGTAAGCTTCTAATTGCTAATCTTCGATGCTTATTTTAGGCACTAGGCACATATTGATGCTGCTGCTATCCAGTAATGGAAGTGCAAAAGTCTCAAATCATTTTTGTTTTGTGATAATATGAATCATCAAGAGATCATCATGAGGAATGTGCAGTTAAGAACAAAATCACTTCAGAAAGGGTAATCTGATTCGAAATCATTGCTTGATTGTCCAAGCGCATCAAATGAAACGCGAGTTGAATGAGTACTTGTAGTATTTCTCATTATATGTGTCACTTTTAGACTAACCGGACAAATGAAGCTGAGCATCAGACAGCACTCAGCTTCATTTCACTTTTATATAGATGCGAACGAAAGAAAGCTTTCTCGACAAAATCTCAACTTTCTTAACGAACGAACAATTCATTTCGTTGATCTATTTGACTGAATTTATTTGATATTATGAATAAATAAAGAGTGTCATTAGACTAAAATCGTACCTCGTAAGTGAAGCAAAAGGGTCTAGCACATGTTTTTTAATTATCAAAGCGTCATAGTTGCAACAGCTGAAATTGTAATTTCGTTCACATCTTTTTCATGGAATTAGGCATGGAAATACTTAATCGAATTGAATCTTGATTTCATATCTAATAAAATTCTTTTACATTTTTGTTGATTCAGCTCTGGTGTAGATCTTGTTCCAACATTTCTTCAATATTTTGAAAACGGATAAACGCAAAATAAGAAATCTGTCTCACAAAAGAGAAACAATTAAACGAGATTTTTGTTTAAAAATATAACGCTGCATAACAATTTCAGTAATTATCTTTATTGTAAAGAAAGTTTGAATGAACAAAAGAAGATAGATACAGACACAAATATATTCATTCGCAAAATAAACGCTTGTTCGATTCGTTTCCTTCAAACCACCACAAGTTTCAGTTATAAGCGCACACAATATACAAATACATATGCGTTCTATTAGTCAATTTATGAATCCTGAAAGTTTTCAGTTTACGATACAGTTTTAGTGAATAATTTTCCCGAACCGAACGCACTGAAAATAACATCTGCTAGAGTCATTTAATAAGAAAACTTTCTTTTATTCAGCTGCTACCTCAAACAAACGGAACACATAATGAAAACTTTGATATGGTTCGCTGAATTTTTTATCGTTTCATTACTTTTGCTTTATACTTGCTCGTATTTCGAGTAAGGTTCACTTTATATTTGATTCGTTGAAATTCATATGATAACACATGTTTTTGGATAGAGACTAAAGCATTCCGTCTGAGAATATTTGAAGAACGAATAAGTATGTGAATATTACAACTGATGATGATCTTATAAAAGCGTAGTGTCCGATCATTATAATCAAAAATAAATCGCTGAAGGGAACATGCTCATTTTATCATAAGGTCGAAAACGATCGACGGATTCGTTCGGGAAACCATATAAACTTGAATAGGAATTGATTGAATTAATTACACTTAAATTTATTAATGCACGAAGCGAATTGAGATGAAATTGAATGGAGTTTTCGGTGTAAGTGTTTTCGGGGAACGAATAAATACTTGAATTATCCATCTCATCTCAGTTGATGACTGATTGCAAACAATGAACGTGTTTTGATGAGGATCTGTTTTCAGGACAGTAACAAGAAAAGTTACTGCGACAGAGGCAAAAACGCAAGTTTATTTGTAAGGAGAATATTTTGAAGTATTTAACTTTAGTAATATGAATGAATGTCTCATATGAAGGGTATAGGCAACTTAAGACGATCCTTGAAGCATATATTGTTTACTATGAATTGCGTGAAATTCACATGATGTAAATGACCGTAAAGATCAGTTTCATAGTAATTTGGATTTTGACAGAAAAAGTTTGAGATGCCTCATTCAGAATTGCATAATGTTTCTTTTAGCAAAGCTGATCAAAATTCTCCGCATGATCTTTGCCATTGTTTTGAAGGATTCGTTGATTCAGTGTGTACACACACTGATGGTTTTATTGCAGCTCTTTCTCATTATGTCTTTAAACTGTTCCGTTTTATTCCTGTTCTCACAATATAACAAGAAAAAACGATGTGATAATTAGAGTTGGAAGTGAGTGGTATTTTGGCGGAAGGAATGCAAAATGCGAAGCATTTAGGATTGCCTAGGTAGGAAATCGACTGTTCCTGTGCGATGAAAATGGGGGAAAACTGAAGTTTATGGGCTCTGGTGACTAGGATTCCCAAGGAACTGAGGCACTCTAACCTACAAATTTTGAACACCAACTCGTTATGACGAGTGGGGATTGGCCTTTCGGTTTTGGATTTATGGTCTTTTGATGCTCCAGTTCCGATGTCTCTCAACCTTTTCATGCGTAAGAAAAACGCTCTAAACTGAGGAATATGGATTTTTTGAACGATTCAGTGCATGTCTGTCCACCACTGATGATAAACCCGACTGAAGTGGATACTCGATTCGAGCGCGGTTCGCGCAGCATTTCGTTGCCACACCGAAGCACAGTGATGGGTTTAGAAGAGCGTTTCCGAACAAGGGCGATATAGTCCTCTGGGGTTGATATCATGATGCAAAGGATGCTTTGGTCGCTCATTTCACTTTGGCGATGACGAACGTACAAAGGAGGAAAGAGATCGGTATTCATCCATATTTTCAAAAATAAATTAGTGTTTCTTAACATGTTGTCTATGTAGTGGAACACGAATGCCAAACAATTTGTGGACATTTACAAGAAATGATTAAGTGCCGAGTGCCCGTCACTGTCCACTAGACAAAGTGAGAGTCTCTCTGCATCGCGATATCGTCCCCGTTGGGAAACACTGATCTGTATTACAATCTAATAGTTCTTTCCTGAAAAAAATTCCTATGAACAGCGTAACTGTTTGCGCAAGCGGTGATGCTCCAGTATTAACAGGGTATCTGTTATAAAGGCTTTTGAGAAATATAAACCGACTGCATTCACAACTCACAACACATCAGCAGATCGGTTCAGTACAACGTTTGAAGCTGAATTCAACAGGGAGCGTTGACGAAAACCAAAATTGTGCCTAAAAGGGTGTCGGCTGAAACAAGATTAGCAAAAAACAAGTCCAGAATGAATTCGTTAGTTCACGTCAAATCAATTCTTCCGAGCACAGTTTTATTGGTGGCATAAAATATGGATGGTTTCTGTGGAGGACGTATGATCAGCAAATGAAAGGATCCAGTAATGATAATACGAATAATATGATAACATCAAAAATAGTAATTATAACAATACGGATATAAATAACAACCATGATCTTCTTATCAATAAGCAATGATACTGATGAAAACAATGACATCCATGATAATGATATAAATAATACCTACGGTAATGTTGTCAGCAATAGTGATAAAAACGAGAATAATGGTAAGAACAATAATGATAAGAAATATAATAATACATATTAATAATAACAGTAACAATAGCAACAGCAGTAATAATATTGATTACAATAATATTGTTGATAATAATAGCAGTAATAATATTACTACTACCACAGTGGTAACATAACTCATAATCAGTGCAATGCTTGACGGAGTAGATTTCAAGGAACATTCAAAATATTTTCTATTCTGTCTCATTCCGCACGACTGAATTACCACAGAGTAATGAATACAGTAATGAATATTCATAATCCGATTTTTTGGCTAAGCTCAATGAGTCTTAATAGATTAACCGATCATTTGAAAATCGGTGATCAAATATGACATTCCAGTACGTCATGAAAATATGATTTCGAACGAAAACAATCGCGGTGAACTCATGAAGTACAGAAACAAAATGAAAAACAAACAAAAATGAGCTCACTTTTGATGAGACTGTTTCATTTAAATCAAAAATATGGTTGTTCCCTCGTTATTTCTCAAATCGCTCACCTATTCTGACATCCGCTGCCATTCAAATTGATGAACAGTTTGTATAAAACGATAAACAGCATAAAAAAGACTGCGATAAAACGAAAATTGAGGCTTATGTTTGTTTAAGTGCTAAAATGTATGAGATATTTCGAAACATTAAAGTGGTCTTCTTCATTTTTTTTTATCTCAGTTTCTTTTTACCGGACAACCCAGTAGTGATTGTGATCAATTAATGTTGCTGTTTAATGATTTCTAAAGTTGAAAATGCATTAGAAAGCGATATTAGCAAATAATCTTTAATACTGATATAATTTAATCACTGAATAGCAGAATCAACAGCTAAATGCTGTTACACAATTTAAATTCATTGATCTCCTGATTTAGCTGACAATTTTTCTCACAACTTTTCCAGACGATGTGATTGGTATTTGATCGATAAACTCAATGCCACCAGCCAATTGTTTATAGCTTGCTAATTTTTCTGAAAGTAAAACTATTTTTCCAATCAAAACTTCGGGGAATATGTTGAAATCAGTGGCTTACCCAGGGGAAGGAAGTGCTAGGAGTGCCTTCTCCTCCCCTCTCCCCCTCTTGGAGGCTGGAGGAAAATGGGAAAGGAAGAAGGAAAGAGAAAAAAAGGGAAATGGGAGAAGGAAAAAAATAAACTAGAAAAATTCGCCTCAAAATTCAACTATTTTCCTCAACCAGACTATTTTGTGTTCCCCTCTCTCTCCACTCCACCTACCTCTTAAAAAAACCTTGGTTACGCCACTGGCTGAAATTCTCCCAAATTGGTTAAAAAATGACAGATGGGTTCAGCAAATTCAAGTTCGTAGGTTGAAAATTTTCATTTTCAAGACGAAACAATAGGTAATTGCTTTGTACTAATTCATCTGACCTTTTAATTTATTCCGAATGACGTCCTTGTCTAAACAGACATTTTGTTTGAGTTTGATGTAGGCTTTTGGTAGCTGACCAGCATCACTATCTGATATACCGACCACAATGCATTGTTCAACTTCATCAAATTCCAAAAGTATTTTCTCGATTTCATATGGTGATACCTGGAAAATATACAACCTACTTGAAACAGTTTCGGACTCGCAAATAATTGATTCTGATTAAATGCATCTCTTCAATGTTGTAAATTAGTCCACATCTCCTTATTTGGGAGGTGTCAACAGTAATCTTGATTTTTTACATACTGTGAATGTCTGAAAACAACAACAAAATAACAACATACCTGCCATCCTCGAACTTTAATCATTTCTTTCGTGCGCCCTGTTATATAAAAAAATTTATCTACATCATAATAACCAACATCTCCTGTTTGAAACCATCCATCAGGACTTTCAAATGACACTGAACTGAAATTGATTGCTTTGCGTGTCAAGAACTGTGGTCAGCTCATTAAGCGACAAATGCAAAATATGGACACAATACCAATTTTTGAATCACAATATACTTTGTACTGGATCTAATAGGTCTTATTATCAGACTTATTTCCAAATTTTACCTAACAAAAGTAGTTACCCGCACTGTGCTAAATCCAATTTCATTTTTGAGTTCAGTGCACAATCCACTCGACTACAAATATGCTGATGTCAACTTCTTTAATCAGATATTTCAACACACTACTGACCTTCAAGCCCTCGTATCTTATTACCTCTTTACAACCCACAAAAATTTTCGCATTTTCATTATCATCTAGAAAAGCCCTAAACAGGCTGTGCAGCTCGTTTCGAAAAACGTGGACAAACTTTATGACCTTTCCTTGTACGCATGCTACATCTTTTGAAACTAAGAGTGCTTCTCCTCTCAACTCCGAGAGAGAGGTAATTTTCAACAGTCTTTAAACTGTTGGAAGGGCAATCAAAAATGCCGTCTTATCGAATAGAGTAACGACGAAATAATTCGTTTCGTTTCACTTTGCGATCATGAACATGACCATTTTGTTTGCATCATTATTGCCGCTCTGTTCATGACCGTTTTGTTTAGACCATTGTTGCTATTTAGATTGGTATTGGGCAAACGTCGTGTATGTAGAAATAAACTGCATAGCGACTTTGTTTGCGGTTGGTATTGTGAACCGCTCGTGAGTTGTTCATTCGGACAAGGATGGAAGAAGATTATAGAGGATAACACGTTCGACGAATAGTATGCATCATCAATTTCCATTAAAAATTTGATAAACGGAACTGACTCTCGTTTATTCCCTCTCAGATAATCGCTCATCATTGTTAACGTTCTCAAATAAATTTCACCACTTTCATACGGACCACAAATCTTTTTGCTTTGACTATCGACAATCTGAAATAATGGATTTTTGATGATATTTAAAGCAGATTTTCAAACAGTAATCAGACCAACAAAATTCGATTAAGCAATATCAGATGTTATCAAATTTACTCAGTTGAAGCGAAAGATAATTTTCAGTTGCAAAGTGGCAATCATAAAAAATTGCAATCAAAAATAGATTGAAAATATAAACTGCATAGTTGTTCGACCGTTTTAAATCGTAAAAGCAAGACAAATTTATGAGGGAAGCAACAGAACGTTCTAGATCTAAAAGCACTCGGTTACTAAACAATAAAAGTTGGCATCAATTGGTCTTATCTTACAAACCTTGCATTCTACTCCAGGAAGTGCTATACCACAACTGCCATCTCTCAATTCACAATTTTTCGGATGCATAAAAATCATAACACCTGCTTCGGTCATTCCATACACTATAATATAAACTTTTTGCACAACGAATGGAACTTATAATAAAGAGGATAACTGGATTTTGCACAGTTACAAAACTAGCGTTTACGAAACACGTTTATTGTACAACAGAGATGGTCAAATAAGAATATCACTTTCTAACATTCAATAATATCGCATATTTGGTATTTGCATTTGATTGTTTTCAGGAGACTTGCTTCAACGTGAGTAGCGCCAACAAATATATGTCGAACTGTCGACAGCTGAGATCGATAAATTTGTGGAGATTTGGCCAAAAATTTCAATATTGGTGGTACCAAATTGAGTGTTGTAACCGGAAATAGACTTTTCATAAACAACACAACATTTGCTCTGACCGGTAGAATGTAATCAAATTAATGTAGCAATACAAAAGGCATGAAGCGAACAAATTGAATTTCAATTCAAAATTTGAATCGAATATAAAAATTGAAGCAAAACCTTATATTCTTTGACAATTTTCAGAAATTCATCAGCATTGAATTTACGATTAATAATCACTTTAGCTCCTTGTGCTAGCATACAATAAACAGTCAATAAACCACCAGCGTGAAAATATGGTAGAACACCGAAAATCACATCATTTTCATCAACTTTGACCATCTCGAATTGATGAGCATCTCCTTTTGGGCCATTTAAGATGCTAAAAAGTTTGTTCTTTTGTGATAGAAATTTTGAAAGAAAAAACTTGCTCCCATAAAATTGAATAAAAACAACGAAATTCGCTGACTAGAAATGCATTTATTAGATCATTAGAATGTGGGTCCAAAATGGAGTAATTCTAAAATTTTTATTGAAATTGATCGAAAGTTACGCAAAACTTCCGCCCAGTATTTGAAGCACACAAATTTTGAGCGCTTATGAAGTTCACCTTTCATCGAATACTCTGAGTTCTGAAAAACGAAAATGATGATGATTACGAAGAATTAATTTACCGAACAATTTCGATGGTTGCAATTAATGAACGATTATTCAGAATAATACCCTTTGGAGGTCCAGTTGTGCCAGATGAAAAGAATATTAAAGACTGAAATTAAATATGGGCAGATTTCGTCAATAAGTTGATTTTTTTTTCACTGATTATTGGTTCAAAGAGCAAATCCTCGACTGATGAAATGTTTTTTTCAAAAATTAGCTTCCTTCTGTTATTTTAATGAGACGTTTTTGAACATAAATCTCGGTTGTTGTGCACTAAAATAATTCAACCGAACCGGGTCGCTACAAATAACTGCCCGCTCGACGGTTGTTTTTTCGATTTGATGCGATGCTAAGAAACTTTGAAACCCAAATGTACGATATGTGGTTTCAGCTGAATCAAGTACAATTGTCGCCTGAAATGAGTTGTATATTCCGATGGTTATTCAATCACATGAAATTATCACGTTATTTTGTAAAGAACCTTTTTAATTTGTTCACAATTCATTGATCAATTTTTTATACCGATTCGAAATGCACAAATGTTTTTTTTTTTCAGTATCATTGCCCATTATAAAAATGTTGCCAATGTGTCACAGTGATGAACTGAAGAGGCCGTAAATTCATTTACTTGCTATCTTTCCAGCTTATGGAACTTATTCTTCCACTGAGAATATTGTTCTCGTAACTAACCTTACCGGATTATAGTAGAAAATAACTTTAATAAAAACCTGAACACTTTGAAATACAACGCTTTTGCTTAGTTTGTCCAAAAAGCATTCCTCGATTACAATCCATTTGACGTTCGCTTCACAAAAATGTTTCGTTATTTCATCTAAAAATATACTTTCAAAAAAACAGCAACAATTCATTCATTTGGAATAAAAAACAAAGCAGCTCCTTGATTTTTAAATGAATGCTCTTAAAATGATAAAATGTCCGATTAGACGCCATGAAAGCACACAGAATATCATTGTAATAATGAAGTTGGATTGATGAAAACTCAACAAGTGATCTTGTTCGGATGAGATGAAAACTCATATTTGTTGAGAGGATTAAACGAGGATAAAATAAGCACAAGATAATTGTGATGATTGGACTCAATTGAACGAACATGACAAAAGTTGAAACTAGTAAACTGGCGACTAATTTTCTGATGGAGGTAATCATGAATGAATGAAGGCACATAAATGAATCATAAACGAACAAAAAATCATTATGAAGCATACACACATGTCTTATAAGATGGATTCACAGGTGTAAGAATAGCACCAATCGAGATTGTCGCCAATGAGAATGCAATGAAATCGGTAGAATTACCAGCCAATGTACCGATAACATCACCATGCACGATGCCGATACGAGATAGCGCATCACGCATGCGTTCAACCCTTACGGTTAATCTTTCGTAAGTTATTGCTTCATTATTCAATGGATCAACCTAGGAAATTGAATATACTTTATCTGATCAATCAAAAGAAACTGCTGTGCTGTCATATCGCATAATGCAGGAATAAATTCATTTTGAATCGAATTCGGATATGCATCAGTCATTAATAGCAAACGTTCTTCAAAAACTATATCGCCTTCTTGTCGGTTGCGCAAAAAAGACAAAGCAAATAAGGGTGTTCTAATTGAATTTCTAACTTCAAGAGTTATTGTGTATTGTATTTTCAATTCGATACTATTACTGAAACTAAACAATAATTTTAAAATGAATTGATAAGGAATTAAATAAATAAGCAATTGAGTAATAAGTATCTCAACAATCGATGAAGAGCGCAGATTATTTGATCAAAAATATTCACCATAGCGATATTTTTATGATATGGTGCAATCGTTCGTAGAAAATAGTCCCCGAATGAAACATCACTTGGAATATTTGGCTGTGTATAATCACTTCGAATGATTCGCTCCTCCATCCTTTCAGCTGATATATTGTTTTTGTTTAATGCAGAAATGATGCCAATAATAATAACTACAATGATAAGAACAATGCTAATTTCAATCAATGATCGTCAAACATTCTAAATTTGTTGATCAACACAAATCAAATCATTTGCAAGGCGACCATTAACTAAGACAGAAGGATAGAAAAATATTGCAATCCGTTCAAATTGTTCGTCGTAATCCAACGAATCCCGATCGCAGCACAGAATTCGTAATTCACCGAAGCACAAAAAGCAGAGTAATTTTCGGTTCTTCACCAATAACTCACTTCAGAACTGCGAAAATGGATTCTATCAGATTTCAAGCCAATCAATTTTTCTTCGGTTACCATCACTATAGCACAAATATTGCAACAATTAGTCACAATCGCCTATATCAGTGGTTCTCTCGCTCGGGAGCTCCATTACCCTTTTTGATGATCTGGCACGCCGCCGTTACCCTCCCCCCACCTCCTCCTCTCGTAATATAAGAACTTACTATTTTTAAGTATAACGTTAGGAACAAACGGAAAACCAGTCCGGAAATTCCTCAGTGCCGTGAAATAAATTAATTTTCTTCAATGAAACAAGTATTTTTCAGACTTTACTTATCCACTGCAGAAAGCATAAGAACCTCGGCAATCAAAAACGGAAAGCAATGAAAAAAACATTCTTCCGCGATAAAAAATGAAATTTAACAACAAGTTCAATAATTCATGAAGAAGGAAGATGCAATAAACACTTGAGAAATTATTTTCGAGATGAACGGAAAATCAATCATTCCATCAAAGTGATTGTTAATGTATATGTATAAATTCATCGGAGGGACGAAAATAAATTCGAACTATCGAGGATTTTGAGATGCGACTGGTGCATTGAGCCTGAAATTCCCATTCTACTTTTCAAGCATTTCAGTCATTAACATCATAAGAAATGTTGTCGTACATCACGGAAGAAGCATTGTACCGGTTGACAAAATATTCATAAGCGATTGAAGAATTACAAATTGTGAAAATTGGAAAAAGAAATCGATATTATCAAATTCAGAAATCCTCAATTGTTCACACCAAACCAATGATATTTTCTGCCGCACAAAAGAGCTCAATCAATTCTTACTGCTCATGAGAGACAATGTCAGCCAATATATTAAAGAACTTACGAAATAATTGTGACTACTTCAGACTAACTTTTGTTCGGGCCTGGGCGAGATAGAAATACCCAAAAAACAGGATAAAGACAAGCGTTAACATGAGCGAGCCGCGTTTAGATATCCGAGTGAAAACCACCATCACAATGGTGTTTCCATTAATAACACAACAACACCAAATATTAGTTTCTCTTAATCATTCTCCAATGTTGATGAGAGAAGATATCAGCCAATGTATCGAAGAATTTACGAAGCATTTGTGACCTTGAGACTTCTGTCTAGACCCGGACGAGCTGATGATACTCAGAAAACAGGAGAAAGAACAGTGTTGCCATGAACTAATCGCATTTACATATCCAAGTTTTAAAAAAAAACCATCACAATAGCGTTCTGTCATAAAAAACGACTGCACGAAACACTAATTTCCCGACACCCTCAAATTACCCAAAATGGGTAATTTCACCTTAACCACGGGCCTATATGCTCACATTCAAATTCAGCTATTCGCATAAGCGAATGATACTGATGTCAAATGAATGACGTGATATATGTAACAATCAAAATAGAGGATAACGTGTGGATGTATTTCAAATGAAAGTGTGCTTATTAGTTGAATACGAGCTAATTTGTTTCAATCAAGTAGTGATTAGCTAAATTTAACAATGAATATTGTTGCTTCATGATAATTCATTTCTGATGCAAGACTAGTAGCAATAAAATTTTCGTACACTTACATCGTTTATTTATTCAAGAGAATTTCACTTTCGTTCAACTTCGAGCAATTGATTAATAAATTGTATCAGCATAAATCGCTCGATGATTCAACTATATTCGAAAAAAAGTCAGACTAGAATGATCGTTCGAAACAAACTTAGTGAGGTTCAGACCCATAAAATATTTTTGGATGGATTCATTATAATTCGTTCAGTGAGCTTGGATTATTTCGGATACATTTATTAGGCGAGATATTTACCGAGAAACTTTTTTGGACCTAACTGTGCACCAAGTAGTTCTGGACATAATTAAACTTTTCAGTTAGTTTGCTTGTATGCTTCAATCAAATTTTTAGTAATACAGTTGGCATGCCAGGAGAGGGGCATGGGGTCATGGCTATGACTGAATGCTTTGAGCTTGTGTAATCAACCGCCAGACGGGATGAATGTCATGGCATAAGTTTTCGTTTGGTTTATTGTTAGGAAATTAATCTATTGATGAAAATTTATTTAGGCCTTTCAGTCATAAAATTCAAACGTTCAGTATTTAATTTGATTCATTAAACAATAGCACAACGAATATTGTATCATTTCACAATGATCAAACAGCTATTGATGTGGTTTGACTAGTACCAAAAGATGTTATTGCTTTCGATGAGAATTCTTTGTAAAGTTGCAATATGTTAACCTAAAATGCAATTTCTGAGTTTCGTTGATAAGTGTGAGTAGAATGGTATAGGGCAGTTGATGTGATGCGATAGTTTGATAGCGGTGCGAAGTATGCGTGTGGAATGATGCTTGCTGATGAAACGTACCGAATGAGAGATGGATGGTTTGTTGGCTGCTTGGTTGAGTGATTATTCGACAGTTAAGGACCAGAAGAGGCAACGAAACAGAGGCCAATCACTAGCGCATAACAATGAGACCGACAAGGCAAAATTGATATCGCAGGCAGATGTAGGATGAGGCGAATTGCAGCAGCCGCAGGCCACTAGCAATGTTGCTCGATTGAAGTGCTTTGCTTACGTCGTAAAGTGTACGCAATTTAATGGTTACTCCAAGAGTTACGCTCATATAAAACTCATCTATCTCATGCGTCATTCCAATTTCATTCGTTGACTGCTTGCTCACTTTTGTTCATTCTGGTCTATTTGCAAACTGAAATCATTCTTTATTTCTGAAATTTGATCAACGTTCTCTAATAACAAAATTTCCAATACAACCTCTTCAATTACTCACGGTATCAATAATAAATTTTCAAAAACATTCATATTCAAATCAATTTCTAATCATAATACATTATCATCAATCTTTGTGATGAATAATTGAAATTTGTGGGGAGAAAACGGGCTTCAGTAAGGCCATAACGAAGGTTGATCGAGAACCTTGATTGGTCAACATCCATTCCTACTCTCAACAAGTCTTACTTTATCGCATAAAATGGGCAACAGTGGCAGTTCATTAACCGATCTAAATTTATTCTCAAAGGGTGGAGTATTCACGCGTGATCAGCTTGATGAATACCAGGTTACATTCTAGCAACTAGCATACCTTTTCGCTTGAAATATTCATATTCATTAATTACTGAACGTTTTTGCATAAATTCAGTCAGTTCTTGTATTCAATAAACAAATACTTTTTAAGGTTGAGTATAAAATCTGATTTCTTGATTGACCAAAAATTTGATAAAATATTTATTTTGCTTGTTGATTTGGAACTTGGTTTCTAATTCAGGATTGCACGTTCTTTACCAGGAAGGATATTCTTCGTCTATATAAACGTTTTTATGCGCTCAATCCAATCAAAGTGCCAACGAACATGCAGGGCAACAGACCTGCGATTATTACATTATGCTTCGAGGAAATCGAGAAAATGCCCGAATTACGGGTAAGTTGGTCCACTTGTCACCTAAATTCAAATGATCACTATGTCTAATCAAGCTTGAATTTGATGCGACTGTTACTTAATTATCAGGAGAACCCGTTTCGACGGCGTATATGTCAGGTGTTTTCGGAGGATGGCTGCGGCAACTTGACCTTCGATGATTTTCTTGATATGTTCTCAGTATTCAGCGAAATGGCACCACTACAACTCAAACTGAAATATGCGTTCCGGATATATGGCATGATTAATAATGCATTCATTCATTCTCCATAACGAAAAACTTATTTTTATTTTATTTCATCATTTGGCATTCATTATCTCAGTAAGTAACGATAGATGATATTTGAGTGTGAATAACTACAAGCCTTCCTAACAAAGATAGAAGTTGACTTTGGAAGGAATAAGAAATCGATGTTCAGATTTCGATGGTGATGATCAGTTGGGCCACGACGATTTAAGCAAAATGATACGTTGTCTCACGAGAGATGAACTCAGTGATGAAGAAGTGGAGTTCATTATTGAACGTGTACGTGAGACAGTTTACAATCTTTTCGTTCGCTTTCTCAATCTCTTAAACCTTTTCTCTAGCATTACGGATAAGCGCAAATCTTTTCACAACGTCGACATGAATTGTGTTTCTTCATTTTGAAGATAATCGAAGAGGCTGACTTGGATGGCGACGAGCAGATTTCTTATGCTGAATTCGAACACGTCGTTTCGCGTTCTCCTGATTTTATTCGCACTTTTCATATTCGTATATAAAACAACGCAACCAAATTTGCATTCAGTCAAAATGAAATAACAATGTATTCGCAGAAATCGTGATCAGTTTATCGAAGAATACCAAACTCACAATGACTATCATTGAACGGCCAACTCAGGTACAAAGCATACGATGATTATTGATTCATCTGACTATTTCTGTGATATAATTCTTCTTGTTCACTGTTGGATTGACTATGTTATCACATATGAGTGGATACTTCGATACAGTGCAAATACAATCATTCTCATGTATACATTGTGACAACGTTCGAATTTCTGTCCAACGTTTCCCTTCAAATGAAAAGTAAAATTTTGAAATGAACTGCATCTTTTTCCTGTCTCATCAGTCAACTGGCGCATAGTGAAAGAGGATCAATCATTCAAACGAATACACTACAACACCGTTTATGATAGTGAAACAAAGTCATGCCTTGCAATAAACAGTTTAAACAGATCACCACGAATGAATAGTTAAATTAGCAGCATCCAAGTAATATGCTATGATAAATTAAAAATATTGTTCAAACATGAAAATCGTTCGTGATAACCCTCATTGAGTATGTGATTTTTGCATGTTCCCAATGATATGAAAATTCTCTCTATTCAGATTATTCCATTAAACCATAACACAACTCTTTACAGTACCAACTTGTTATTAAAGTCTAAATTCTTTTTCATAGAACCACCTGATAAAGATATGGTAGTAAACGCACAAATGAATGACACTGCAATTTTTTCCAGACTTCCAGAAAGTAATTATGAATCATTTATCGTATTCATATTGTTTAAAACTCACTCGTATCCACATAACAATTCTAAAATATAATGATGGAAGAAAACAAAAATTCATGAGGATTCTACTCAAAACAAGGAACAAATGTTTTCTTGTGACTCGAATTCATTTTCATTACGAAAAGACGGCTGATGACTGTTATATCAGATTGACTGTTATAGTCAACGGTCAACAGCTGATGACTGTCGTATCAAATTTGATGAATCCTTAAATCTAAAATATCTGAAATCACTGTGCTTACATCAACCATTGAAAAAAAAAGAATTCCTTTTTTGTTGGTCCAGCAAAGTGTGAAATAGTAAGAATGATGGAAATAAAATTCATCATTTGCAAACGATGACACCGAATGAATTTCCAACATTCTCATATTGAGTAAAAAGATGAAGATATCAAATTAATAAATGAATGAACAATTGACATGAACGTGTGAACAATGGATAAACAAAATGAAAATATATTATTTAGAAGGCTGGTTCGTGGCTGTTCGTTGAGATGGTGACGATGATGAGTGCAGATCAGCCTTATAAGAACTCGTCAGGTGCTTGTAGACCGATAAAGCTTGGGTTATCATTGAACTAGCGTCCGATACATTTGATGGTACAATGACAGTGTTGGTTTCCTTTGCTAGATTGCTAAACGCAGTCACATACTGTTCAGCGACACTCAATGCAGCTGCATCATTGCCACCCTTTAGCGTCACTGATTCAGATACTTTTTTGATACCTACTGCACGAGCATTTGAACGCATCAATATTGCTTCGGCCTTAATTCAATCACTTATTCGTTATGCTTTAACCAAGATTCGGATTTTTCAATAATCAAAGAAGAAAACTGCATGAAATTAATGAAAATTTGAACGTAAGAAAGCACTTTCTGGTGAGGAGGTGAATATAGAATTTGAACGAAGAAATCAGTTTAGACAAACCTCGCCTCGAGCCTCATTGATTTGTTGCTGCATTGAGGCTTCAGAAGCCAATATTCGTGCCTTCTTTTCACCTTCAGCAACATTAATAGCCGCGTCTCGACGTCCTTCAGACTCCAGAATCGCTGCACGTTTACGTCGTTCCGCTTCTACTTGCATCTTAAGATATTACGACAGCAATAAACCGAATACTTTTTTTGGAAATAATTCATTCAATTCTAAAATTTGAGAAATTGAACGACTGAATTCAAATAAAATGCAATCGATATGTAGAAAAGGATCAGACGTAATCATATATTTCATTCTGGATATCAAACGAGAGTGAAATAACTGTGAATTAGACAATATCAATGTCAACGCAATAAAACAAACAAACCGACATTTACCAAAGAAACATTGAAAAAGGTACAAAGGAAAATGAATGAATATTGGCTTAAAGGCGAAAAAAAGATCACAAATAAGAACGAAAAGCGGAACCTGCATAGCTTCTTGAATTTTTACAGGCATTGTCATATCACCTGAAAACAAGAAGTTGAAACAAAAGATCGACTGAAGTAAACTGGAAATTGTCAAGAGTTCCATTCAATGACTAAGAATGCACGAAAACTAAAAATATCCGCCACAGAATATGAAAATAAAGATCGTTCCCATCCATTCTCATGATGGAAGAAAATTTGATTGATGCAACTGCTTGTACATCCAAACAAGAGGTATGATTTGCACATACAAAAGTGAAAATAAGATGAACCAAACATAATACTACGATGAATAAAAATCTCAACAATCTCAACAAAAAAAAAACACTAACGAATTTCATATCTCATGCACTGCAATCCCCAAGGCTCTGCAGCTTTGTTGATTGCTTCTGAAAATGGATTTTGTTTAGAACAGCTAATTTCAACAAGAGTTTCATTTCGAAAGATTGTAAATCTTTCACTAGCCAAATTACTATAAGCAGCAAAGATAAATGTACTGGTCTTGAGTGGAGAGTAGTCCAAAAATTTTGTGTTTCAGCCCAAAGCAATAAGAGAAAAAATGAGCTGAAATAAAGTGAAGAGAAATGAAATGAATGAGATACGAACCAACAATCGAGACATTAAGTTGCTCACGCTCTTTGAAAACTGTATCCAAACTTATTTTTCCCACTTCAGAACGCATTGTTGTTTGCGCCAACTGTGTTATTGCAAATTCTGGATCATCAACACCATATGATGCCTAATTGACAACAAAATGAAGATGCAAAAAAATTCATTACATCAACTATTATTTACTGTTTGACAGATTGAAATCTACATTTAACCTCAAGCCAAACTCCAACATCCAATTTCAATTCATGGAAAACTGTTGAATTTAGTTCGTTGTAATTTCCAACAAGCTATATAGATATGTGCACAAATATGATGCAACATGTGAATAGTAAAATTATTTTGCTCGCATTCAGATGCAAAAAATAAAAACTAAACGGATGTATTTCGACTTAGTTGTTGGGCAATAATAGATATTCAATTGGATAATTCAAATAAAGGACTAACCTTGTAAGCATTAACAACCCGTAAATACAATACACCATCCAACTGAAGTTGAACATTATCAAGGGTTATTGCACCTTGTTGAGGGATTTCAACTGCGATTTCTTTCAAACTTTGAACGTATTTAATACGATCAATGATTGGTATCAATAAATTAAATCCCTAAATTATTTAGAATGTAGTAATAAAATATAGCACAGGACCAATGTTGATGATGATAGTCAAAAAACCAATAATTCTAATGATGATAAGTATAAGAACGACAATACCAATAATTGCTAAAATATATTTCTCGCTTACATTTATTATAATGAAAAATTTGTCGACTCAAATATGCACAGTTATCTCAACCAAATTTTAAAGATATAAAAAAATCATAAACGCACAGGCTCTAGAATTTTATGAAATTTTCCCATGCGCTCTACAACCCATGCCTCTTGTTGAGGAACGAAATTAATGATTGTATTTGTTGCATGTACGCAACGTTGCTGTTGATGCAATACAGCATAATGACCGTTTTTGAAATTGATCCTTCTTAAATTAACATACAATTGAAAATTAATTGTTATAAAACAATCGACAGATTATATTCTCAAGCTAAACTGTGCTCTTAGAAACATCATCAGCATTTTACTCAACGATGCACCAATTATTACATCATGTGAATACTCACATAAATTTTCGGATGACCATTTAGTTGACGTAACTATAAAAGAGCAATTGAAAGATCAATCGCTGAGCGTTTCTGCTCGCTCCTAATGCCGTATTCGACCATAATGGGTTCTGTGTCGACTGACATTCACACATTATTCTGCCGAAAGGAACCACACACCAGTGTGTCGTTCTTATTACAGTCATGGATACCAATTTTAGAATTTTAAATTGTCATTATTGGTGAAAGAAAAATTCACTAACTTACTGAGAAAAAACCGATAAAGTGCTTAACATACGAGATCCATTTGCCGTACAAAGAGGAGCAAGTGCAACGCCACAAAATCTTGTACCAATCCACGTGGCCATTTCAGCTATAATTCTGCAAAAAGGTTGCGCAATCTGTTCATTCACTACACAATCACGATTACCATTTATCGTGTCTATAGGAAAATTAGTCATCAAGCGTAACAAATAAAATTCAAGGACAATTTTAAGAAACAAACAAAGAATTATCACAATGATGCAAAAATAAAACGCTAGAAATTTGGACTAAATCAATAACGAGATGCGAAATTTCCATTTACTACTTTGGTTGTGATTAAACCGGAAATTGCTCGAAGTAATACAAAATACACAGCACATACGACTTTCTTTAACAGTGTGCTTACCTCAACCGGAATTTTCATAGCAACTCATAAGTTAAAGCATCAGCACTACATGCGATATCCTCTTCGATGAACAACTTGGTCGCGTTGTGCCAATTTGCTTGTTTAATGTTCATTTGAATCTAGCACACAACACATTCCTCGGAGATGTTATGAAGGAAAGCGAAACAGTGATGCGGCTGAACTAACAATAAGTGAGAAAAGTGGCTCGATTCAAAGAAACTGTAGTGCTAAAATTGAAATAAGGTTTGAGAGTGATGAGACGCTACTCTGAATAAGCCTATAAGACACATCCGG